CTTTTTTACATGGGTCTGGTTTACTAGAAGGATCTTTTTTACATGGGTCTGGTTTACTGGAAGGATCTTTTTTACATGGGTCTGGTTTACTAGAACGATCTCTTTTACATGGGTCTGGTTTACTGGAAGGATCTTTTTTACATGGGTCTGGTTTACTGGAAGGATCTTTTTTACATGGATCTGGTTTACTGGAAGGATCTTTTTTACATGGATCTGGTTTACTGGAAGGATCTTTTTTACATGGATCTGGTTTGGCAGAAGGATCCTTTTTACATGGATCTGGTTTACCACATGGGTCTCGATTTTTAGAAAATGAAATTCCTTGTCTCTCTTTGAGACACCTACATGGATCATTCGAATTTTGATGATCATTGACCAAATACAAATTCTTTGTTAACCAATTATTATGTAAATCCTCTTTGTTTACATCTAAAAATAAATTCTCAGACGTATCAGCTGACAATGAATTCATCTTGAAGAAATCATCCAAATGATATAAACCAATGCTCGAATTTGAAGAAGATTTTTCAATTATTTTCTTTCTTCTCGCGTTATCTAAAAGATGTCTAACGTTAGATGATACTTTTTCAACTGGTCGCCATTTTTCGTAGAAATTGTTTTCCTTTTCATCATCGATGGTTTGAGAACATGACAACGATTCTTTATTTTCGTCATGAGAATGATTTAAGTCATCAGTAACCATTGATTCTTCAATAGGAATATTTTCAGTTTCATCTTGCATTTCAATATTTGTCTTAATCTCAGAAATATCATCGATAAATTCTCTAGAATGACATTGCAAATCCTTCATAGGTAAAGTTGCGTAATCTAAAGGTACTATTTGTAATACTGATTGACTTTTTAGATTAATCGTATCGTCATCTTTTATGCTAACTTGTTCACAATTCGTAATACATTTTAGGTCATCCTTAACGATACCACTAAATTTTGGTTTTATTTTACTACTGATTGTTACAAAACGTTTCAAATTTTCATAATGATCGTTTTGTGTATTCCTATCTTCAAATATTTTCGAAATAAACCAAGATGATCTAGCCTTGTCATTAATTTTACTAAAATCGTGCAATAACCTAGGCTTATTATTTCTAAACGCTGCTGGAACAGTCCAATCTTTCGATTTATCATTTTTAACATTCATTATACGTAATTGTTTTTTAAATTCGTTATCATTGTTCTTCTTTACACGTTTATTCATACTACGAATCTTCACTTTTTGTTCATTCGTCAAATGCAATGTTGGATTAGGCCCAATTTCTGATTTTTTGTGTATCGTTACTTTGACAAATGGTGCTGTCACTATGGCTAACTTTTGTACTTTTTTCTTACGACTTCGTTTGGACATCATTTTTTTCCTAAATTTTCTACTTTTCTCTCTATCTTTCTTCGATGAAGAAACAGAAAATGTTGTTGTCGCATTTGCGAACTGTCCAATTGGATTTATAGAAGGTTGTAGTAAACAATCGGTGATGATCTTCCTGTGAATGTCATTTTTCTGGCAGATTTGTCGGGTCCCGTTGTAGTGGCCCATCATCATCATCATTTCATGTAGGATTCGTGTCATCATCGATCTTAACTTCCCGGTGCACGTGTCGCCCGCCTGGGGACAGACGTATAGACCATGTCAAGAATCATTTTCAGCTGGTGTTTTTTTTTATTTTTTTTTTATTGTTATTTTTTATCTCCACTTTCACATTTTCTTGCACACATTTGATTAATTTCAGTCTTCTAGAATATTCGCTCAGTTTTTATTATTATTATTATTATTATAAATAATTGATTTAAAATTGTTATTCTCGTGATGGGAATTCGTTTATCAGACCCTTGGATCTTTCTTTATTTATCCTTTTTGATATTTATTGTGTATTGATGTTTTGATTTCTCCCTTATCGATTGCATTCGATTCTTTTGAAATTTCAACTTCCATTCTTGTGATTCATCATTTGCGAACGTGAATTTTGTTTTTTTAAATAGAATTTTGTTTAAAACGAATTTAGAATTACCAATGTATACTCATTTCTTTTTTTATTTATTTGTAAACAACTTATTTGCCAAATCGATTAATTCCACACAAAGAATGATAAAGAAATATTGTCATATGATTGTTAAAAGAGATTTATTTAATTAATAAAATTTAATAAAAATTCTAATAGTAGAATTAATTGTTTGGACTTGATAACGAGTACTATTTACATCCGTCAACTTTGTATTTTATAATTACAATAGAAAAATATAGAATAAAATGAAAATGCAATATTTCTTCTTACCTCTGTTGCAAAACGTTGATTAATCGAACCAACTTCTTCGCCGATCGGTAAACGGTGTAACATTTCTACGAGTTTCTCATTATTAATTTCATTTACATTGTTTCGATGATCTGTTAAATAAGATAGCCTGTTTTTTTCCTTCATCGTAGTAGAATCTTGCTTAGATGTTGACTCATACGATCGTGATTTTCCCATAAGTGTTAACATTCGTGAATTCTATTTCAAAATAGAATTATATAGTCATATATTTATATTACTTTTTATTTAAATAATATAAACGAAAAAAAATATTCTTACTTCGTGACAAAATGGTTTAATTTTGTTAAAATGATGAGATCTATTTTGAGTGAATAAAAATCTTTTATTAATACTAGCCACGTCGTAAATGGGAATTGTATTTAATGTTGAATATTGATATCTCGATATTCGTGGTGTTTTTAAATTATGAACTCCTTCGATCGTCCCAATTAATGTTATCTGCAATTAATTTTGAATATAATTTATCGTATTTCATGAGAATTACATTTTTTAATTGAGAAAATACCTTCAAATTATCTTCACCAGCGTAATATTTACGCTGACCGAGAGATTTGACAACGGATTTAGCGGCTCGGGAAAACATTGTTAAAATTTTATATGAATTACTAGAAATTTTTGGAACGCCTTCATATAGCGTTCGTCTGATCCAAACTAAATTAAAAATAGTTAGTTAAACGTTTGTTACTAAGCGACCATCGTAATTTTGTCAATGCAATTGTTTAAAAATAATTCAAGAATTATCGAGTATGCTGTGGGTACATTTGTAATGAGATAGCAAAATGATTGTACTATTTGTATTGTTCACTTTTTAAAACATATCAATTTGCTTAAGGATGATAATACGATAATACGATTATATATTATTAAAAATTGATTTTATTTAAAAAATATAAACTATATTTACATATAAAATATTTCAGTCACAGTATTTAAACTTTTAAAATAATGTTAAGTATAAAATTGTACACGACAAATGGTATATATATATATTACATTTTACGGAATAAGGATTAACAATGTAAGAATATATAGAAATATTTTTAATTGTCTAATTCTGATTGTTTATTTTCATTTTGAACATTTTCGGTAGAATTTTTTTGTTTCATCCATGCTTTAGCAGATGCCAGGAATTTAAGATTAGGTCTTTGGGATTCATCTTCAGGAAATACAAAATCGAATACTTCTTCCCATCCATCATTCTAAAACGATACAAAAAAAAAAGATTAATATATATTGTTTTATAATGAAATGCTTTTTGTTAAAAAAAAAAAAAAAAAATAAAAAAAACTTTGTAATATTAAATTACGTACTCCATCTTCTCCAACAATTCTTCTTCTTCGTTTAATTCTTCTCGGCATCTTGGCAATAATTTTACTTTGACTTTCTTCATCACCTTTCTCATTTTCAAAATCTCTCCATGCTTCCAAAAGTAATACTCTACTTTCTTTATCGCCATTTGAACGTAACGCATCATTTCCACGTTCAAAAATTCTTCGAGCTAAAGTAACATTATCGATATCTTCTGATGGAGAATTGGCTAATTCAAATTTGGCATATGCTATCAAAACCTGTAATATAATATTTATAAATTAATAACAAAAATGTTGCTCACAATTTATATATATACAAGAAAATATATTAACTCACTTTGACATGAAGTGTTCGTTCTAATAATCTTTCAAATAATTGTCTAGCATTTTCTATTTCATCTTGAGATATTTCAAAATCTATGTACGATTTCCATAAGAGTTCAGGCATATCCAACCTAAATAAATCAAAATGATAAAGAGTTTAACTATTTCTCTTTTTTTTTAATGATAATAATAGTTTAATTACATTTAATTATTATTTATACAAATATAACTTACCTTGGTTGAGACACAGCTAATTCATAAATAGCCCTGGCACGATCAACATCTCCTAATAAAGTTTCTAATTCTGCAAACTGAATATACATTATATAATAAACAAATATAAGTACAATGAAAAATAAGATATATTAAATTATAAAAAAAGTAATTTACTTTCATCCATGTTGTGCAATTTTCAGGTCCAAATTCAAGAAACTTTTCATAAAGAATCCTACATCTATCAAATTCTCTAAGTTGTATTTCTAAATCAATGTAACCACGATACAATTTATCTCTGGGACAAATACCTAATGCCATACCCTAAATGAAACATTTAAAAATATAATTCAATATTTATAAATAAGAGCCCATAATAATAGTAATAATAATAACATACCAATGTTTTCCTTGCTACAGTCAAATTTTTTTGTCGTATTTCAAAAAATGCATAAAGTAGCCACATCTTAGAAAAAGTAAAATGTTTATGTGGTATTAGTTCTAAACAGGTTCTAAAAAATAATCAAATATTATAAAGTTATAATTTTTACATATATGTATATAGTAATAATAATAATTTTATATCAAATTAGTTGTTACCTGTAAACCTGACGACATCTATCAATATCTTCTGTGTCAAGTTCTTCATACAAAGCATAATTTATCCATAGATAGATATATCGTCTCCAATATTGTTTTTCCTATATAACAAAATTTATATTGTAAAAAATAATTGTAATATGATTTCAAAACTTTAAAAATTTAGGTATGCTTTACCTTTGTAGGAGGAACATTTGCTATAGCTCGTTCATAAGTTTCTCTAACAATATCAGGATTTCCTTCAGATTCAACTAATCTCAGATAATCGAACCATGCATCATAGTTTGAAGGATTTTCTTTTACTTCTTGTTCATATTGATATTTTCTTTTGCTAACTATTACATCTTCGATGCCTATTTAAACATTGCGTACAACTCATATTATTATATACATAATTATTGATATTAAAATAATTATTTTAGATTAAGCGAAAATGTTAATTACCTGAACGATCTCCATACTTCTTTTCATGTATAGTATATGCTTTATATATTTCTTCTGTTTTATCTTTAGAAATATTATCTAAAGCATACTTGTAGATTACTCTTGCCCTATCATGCTGTCAAAGAATTATTATAAATTATAATTACTATAATAGATATTGAATTATATATATTAGATATTGTTATTCTAAAATATTACTTCTCTCTGTCCTTCTTCGAATTTTGCAAATGCTATGAATAGTTTGACATCTAAACTTTCATCTCCAAAAAAGTTAACTGCACGTTCATAAACTTTACGGGCACCGTTTATAAAACCATTGGATTCTTCAAAACGTGCATATTTGATCCAATGTTTCACATCTGGATGGACCATTACAAAACGTTCAAAAATTTCTCTAGCTCTCTGTATTTCTTTATATCTTAATTCAAATTTAATATATGTTTGCCATGCTTGTTCATCGGGTTCCCATTCCATCCATCTCTCAAAAACTTGACGTGCTCCTAAAATAAAATTTATATTTAATTTAGATTACATAATTAAATATATCATTTTTTTTTTTTTTGAATTTAATATCAAATCTTACCGGGAATATTTTCTAACATTTCTTCCATATATGTATACTTGTACCAAAATTGATTGGCTCTAGGTAAAATTGTAATAGCACGATCCCATAAATTTCTAGCATGATTTATTTGTCGATTTCTCATTTCCATTTCGGTATACTTTAGCCATAGTGTAATATTTCTATGATCAACATCTAATGCTCGTTCATATATAGATCTACAAAAGATATTGAACATATTTAGACTTAAGATTCTTTTAATAGACAACTAATACTTTAAAATTTAGTATTTTCTAGTTGAAGTTGAAGTACCTCGCTCTTTGTATTTGTTTTTGACTTTCTTCCCATTGAGCATATTTTATCCAATTAGTTATAACCATACGATTCTTACGTATGTTATCTTCATACATTTTTCTTTTCCGATGTTGATAGTCAGCCAATTCATGGGGATCTGAGATTTTTTGTTTAGGTGGCTAAAAAGTAATATTTATAAATGAATCAGATATGTTTAAAGTATAGTTGAACATCATTTCATCACATAAAAGTTTTGATTATTGTCCTTACCGGAGGTAAAATTTCCAGATCCCTTTCTTTAGCTTCTCGTAATAGCTGTTCAGCTGTAATTTGTATTTCAGCTGGTGCTTTGTTTTTAACCTACAAAAAAAAAAAGATTTAAATTATAAACATAAGTTAAAGACTTATAATAAGTAATTTCTGTTATGATGTATAATTATGAAATAAAATCTATAAAATTATGAATAATAATCATTTTACCTTAGCCACTTTGGGCATTTTTTGTGATTTTTCCATAATGATGGTTGATTCAATCCGACTTTTTATGTAATAAATACAATTTAAGTAATTTTGATTTTGGTAACACAAGATACTTTAAATTAAACAATCCAAGTATTCAAAACACAATTTTCTTTCTTAGTTTATACATAACACTTCAAGCATATATATAGGTATTTATTATTTTTATATTTTTCAATATTTCTTTAGAAGATACCTAAAAAATTGACACTATAATCACGGAGCATAGATAACAAGAGAGCGCACGACATAGGAAAATAACTAGCAAATACGAATGGTAAGAAAAGGAAAGATTATTTCGGAAATACGCCGCTAGGTTTCGTTATGTTCGCTAAAGTCAGGTTTATAACGTCATATTTTTCATTGACAATTGTTGACAATACTACATCAATAGCAATTGTATTAATGTTTTACCAGCTACTCTTTTTCCAGATTTTGAAAATCTCGTCCGAGAAATTATCGGATTTCAAATTTTTTCCGGGGCATACTATAATTTTCCGGCGTGTACTAGGGATCTTATAGGAGGGATGCGCCATGTACATTGCTGGGGGACCAGAACTTGATTTTGCGCGCGAATGATTCAAACATTGAAATTATTATGAAATAATGAATTGCATCAAATACAGAAAAAAATGAACTATATTTAATGATAATTAAAAATTTATATTAAAATAGAATAGGTTACACGAAAAAATTATTATAAATTCAAGCGGTCCCCCAAAATTTTCAGCCAATAGCACATGAGCTGAATATGAATGGCGCATCCCTCCTATAGGATCCCTAGCCTGTGCTGTCAGATCGTGGGTAAATCTTACCCTCTCCCTGTGCCACTGGGATTGCACACAATGAAAGTTATCCATGTCCGTGTGTTCGGGATGTCGAAAGAAGTCGAGTGTAACCGAAGTTGGCGGGCACGCCGGAGCGGCACACTATGAAAGCGACTCGTGTCCATGTGTTCGGACACTCGTGTTTCGATAACTTTCATTGTGTGTAATCCCAGTGGCACAGGGAGAGGGTAAGATTTACCCACGATCTGACAGCACAGTCCCTAGCGTGTACGATAATATTACGCCCCTGTGTCGATCAGACGAACTAAAGTCTCTGGGATCACTGGCAGTGATCCCATTCGTACGATAATTATCGTACACGTCACATAATTTGAAGCATTGTACGATCGTAAATTCAACTTGTACGATAATTTTTACGATAATTCTATATGTAAATATAATTTTCGATATATCTTGATTTTTGTTTTTGTTCGATTGTGGAGCGCAGTGCTCGCTCAGCGCCTCCTATTGCCCTGTACGGTACACGGTTTTATTTATATAGTTGGGAAAGTTTATAGTATAATGTCAGTGATCCCATTCGTACAATAATTATCGTACGCGTCACATAATTTGAAGCATTGTACGATCCAAAATTTAACTTGTACGATCCAAAATTCAGCTTGTATGTAATTAACGATAACTCGAAATTTCGATAAGTCTTGATTTTGATTTTGTTTCGCGATTTGGTTGTCGGTTGTAGCGCACCCTACCGTACACGGTTATCAAGTTTGAAAAAGTTGGTACTTTTACTCTTTTTGCAGATTTGAAAATCAAAAAGTTATACAATTTCTAAATCTAAAAACTAATTAAGAATTAAGAATATCAGGAGTGTCAAATCGAAAATTCCTAAAATTCCAAATTTTTGCCTGTGGGTACGATAATTTTTCTGTGTGTACGATAATTTTACGGCCCTGTGTCGATCAGACAAGCTAAAGTCCCTGGGATCACTGATCACTGGGGATCACTGCTCCCATAAGAGATGTTACTCCTTACTTTATTATTACACGTAAATACGAACTGGTTAACCTAGTTCGTGAATGTAAAAATAAATTAAATTAAATATACTAATATTAATTTATTTTTTTTAGAATTATTTTTATTAAAAAATGGGGAAATGTTGTGCCGTTTCTGGTTGCCTTAGTGGCCGAAAGGCAAGTGAAAATTTAGGAAAAGTGGCTTTATTCAAAGCACCAAAAGTGAGTAACTTCAAAATAATATTAAAAATGTTATGTTAACAAATAATTGATTATTACATTTGTGTAGTTTTTAAATAATATTTTAAAAATGTTATATTTTTATTTTTTTTTCTAAAAGGATGTTAAAATGCTCAGTAAATGGAGCTCTGCTCTGGGTAAAGAATTAAAAAATACCAGTTTCGTTTGTGAATTACATTTTAATCCAAAAGATGTGATTAAAAGTAATCAAGAGATTCTAAAAGATGGTAGTATATATATTTATGAATACGACAAAGTTCATTTGAAGAAGAATGCTATACCAAAATCTAATGCTACTAACAATGCTAATAACGATGAAAATAATTCCAGCTTATTATCAAATGATGTTCGTCCAAATTCCTCTGATATAATTAACGATAATGTAATTGGTGACTGTAATTTAAATTCTATTGAGCCTATTAATATAATAATCGTAAATGAAATGATAAAAGAAGTAATTGAACCTGATAATAAAAATTCTGAAAACGCAAATCTTCCTGATAATACAAATAATGTGATTAATAGTGATAATTTGCTGATCAAAAATAATCCTGAAGAGTTTTCTTTATATTCCATAGAAACAATTTTAGAAACTCAACCACTACGTAAAAATTGGAGTTGGACAGTCATTAAAGATTCATATATTTTATTATCGTATATAAATTTGATATTGGAATTAGTTTGTCACGTGAAAATTTATAAAAATCTAAAAGTTACGGTAAGAAGCTTAACTGAAAATAATGATTTGAATGATCTCGAGAAATTGTTCTTACGTTACAGATCGAAAATGCCAAAACGAATATCCTTATTGATAAGAATGTAAATATTTCATCAATTGATTGTGTTTGGCAGTTATTAAGCTCTTTAGAAAACAGCTTTTTCTGCAGTGGAACTGGATACGATGAGAAAAAGTATCTATGAATCTAGATACATTAATTTATATAATAATAAATGCTATCATTAGTAATTAAAATCTCTAGTACCATATTATAATAGTTATTGAAACTCTGTATTTTATTTGTATAGATGTTCGCTACTTTGTACTGGTGTATTATTGGCAGATGAAAGGTATAAAAAACAAATGAAGGAGTACAGGTGCATTAATTGCCGAAAATTGAGGCATTTGATACAAAGGCGTAAGAATAAGACAATCGATTATAAAGCACGATGGATTAATGTCAAAAATCACTTAATTTTAGAGCTCCGAAAGTTAAATCGAGTTCTTCAGCAGGTAAAATTTTGTTTTTATTTAATTCATTCTTTAATTGTAAATAAACACCTGCGATAAGGCTCTATTAACCACTTTCGATCAAGTTGTCCACTTCATTTTTTTTTTTTTGTAGAATGTACTTGGATAAAAAAGTTAATTTGACCTAAGAGCCAAAATTTTGAACCCAAGAATACCAAGCAAGAATAGACCAAATTTTGTCTATTGAGTCAATTTAACTTTTTATCAGTATACAAGGACTGTGACATCAATTTTAAAGAGTTTAAAGTAACCGGAAATTGAATTTTTCTGTACTTTGTAATTTCCGAGTCACTGTAATGTATGTGTATAGTTATGTATAAACTATAACTTTAGTTGATAATAACATCTGATGAAGATTTCTTTTTTTTTAGAATAAAAGTTTAAAGGAAGAATTATTAAAATTACAAAAGCAATGTGCTGAAATTAAAGGAGAAATATTGTCTGAGAAAATTGCCGATTTACCTGCTTTGCAACAACAAACAGTTCGAAATTGTTTAATTGCTGCAAAAGCTAAGGGTGCTAAACAACGCCGTTATTCTGTAGAATGGGTGAATGAATGTCTTTTAATGAACGCTAAAAGTAGTTCACTGTATGAATACATTAGAAAAAAAAATATTCTACCTTTACCATGTAAAGACACTTTAATGAGATACGTACAAAATATCAATAATAAAAAAAAAATAATAATAAAATAAAATAAAAAAATTAATTATTTAATTTATTTATTTTCGTAATTTCTCGATTACGAAAGCAATATTCTGGATACTCTTAAAACTATAATAATTTGGTTTATAAATATTAAACATATTATATTTGTACTATTAATAAATAATATATACAATAATTTATTTATTATTTTTTTTTGTCATCAAGTATATTTATCGTGATCTACTCAAATAAATAGGCATTTGACAATTGTTTAAAAATATTTTTACTAGTAAATTTTCACAGAGACAATTTTTAATAGTTTTACATGGAAAGATTAAAAATGAACTATAAACTCAATTTCTTAAAATTTGTCTTTGCATAAATCTATTTTTTTTTTTTTTAACAAAATGGTTTGATGCCTACTGATTTTTGTATTATGATTTATTAATATCAGATGTTTTTAACTTTGCAGATTATCTCTTAAACTTCTCGATATTTCTGAGTTGAAAACGTTTGAGGTTTCTAAAAATTTCCTTAAACTTTTATTTAATTCCACGTTTCTCAAAATAGTTTTTTTTCACAGCTGTCAAATAGCAACAAGATTCCCCGCGTAAGTATTTAAACGAGTACATCTTGAATGATAGCGCGCTCTACCGGTAAAATATCTGTCCCCTAAATTGATGCCGTTCTTTCAACATTACGTTCGGACTCCGGCGAGCGGCGCATGCGCATTACTCTGCTAGTAGAGGTTAAGGTAGCTGGTATCGTATACATACGTGTACGATAAGCATGATAAGTCTAATGCGCATGCGCAGGTACCGCATCAGTTAGAGAGAGATAACATCAACTTTTCGTTTTTTGCTGCCATATTCATGTAGAGACATTTCCACTTACACCACCGCCTATGGTTTGTCTCTTCTATTTGTGATATCTCTATGAAAAATTTCCCTAAATTGGGTATCATTAAGATTAGTTTTTAAGACTACATTATAATTAGAAAATTATGCCTTAAGTGATAAAAGTAAATTGATTATTAAATCTTACAAATTTGTATGCGTATATTTTTAAACATCCCTGTGAACAAGACAGAATTAATGCAACACCCAGTATATAGTGATAAATTGGACAAATTATCTAGTTTGCTTTAGGGATAATACCTTTCGTTATGTTTTTTATCTAATAACGGGTGTTTCAATCTTACTACGTGAGTTGTATATCTTTCTTAATTTTATTCTTAATCTAATTTCATAAGAGAGAAAAGAAAAAAAAAATATGAAGTCTTCATATATTTAGTAGATTACTAGATACTGCATTAAGTCTAAGTTAGAGAGGTTAGGTAAATAAAAAAGACGTCGATTTAAACTTTTTCTTTTCAGATTATTATTTAATAATAATTTCGATAATATCAGCATATATGAAAGATATAAGTAATGAATAATTTTCAAATTAGTATGACTTGTCTTTACAAATTTTCTTCTCATTCATTTCTCAAATTTCATAAATTAGATCATTTAATCTTGTTAAAAGTCTATTATCAAAAGTATTATTTATTTAATTTTAACATTGTGTTTTTTTGTCTCTTTTTATAGAATGGATGGAATTGGGTTGTATCGTATATTTTTACAAACACATCAACCCCAGCTCAAGTCTTCCGGAGTACCAAAAATATTTTGGGAAGCGTTATTTAATAAATTAAAGAATCAAGATTTCGATGCCGGTCTTGTATTTCAATTGGCGAAGATTGATTATGAAGATGACGAAAGAGAGCCTAAGGATCCCATTTGGAAATTATTTGTGTCTGCAGAAAATGGTATTTCTATGATAGATCCTAATAATATATATTTGGTGGATCATGCGTGGACATATGATACACTTAATGCAAGAGCTAATTTAACCAATGTACCAGGCCTATTAGATAGAATGTGTTCTCTTATGGGATATGATATTGATAACGATGAGAATGAAAAGATTGAATTTGTACTTAAAGAAATGTGGAGATATAATCAGTCATTCTCTCTAAACAGCGGTACCATAGAAGATAGAATGCCCATTTGGTATATAATGGATGAAGTTGGATCTGCTATTAATCATAGCGATAATCCTAACTTTAGAACCGTACCATTTCTTTATTTACCAGAAGGTGTAACATATACACTATTATTTCCTATAAAGGATGTTAAGTTTGAGGAAGAAGTTACCAGAGATTTTATAGATGGTCAAACTAGTGATTTAAAGAAAAGACAAGCGTTATTATTACCATGGATAGATAATTCGTTTATCAATAAAAGTTTCGTACAAGAGAGTCCTAGTGAAGATTATTTTTTGGCTGGTCATATAGCAGAAGATTTACCAGACAAAATCAATGCGGAAGAAAATATAATACGAGGACCAAATGAAAAACTTAAAGTTTATTCACAATATAGTTATGTAAATAATTATTTAACAGATCCTGCATTTGAAATTGTTGACAGTGAAGAAGACGCTGATATTTTATGGTATAATTCTCATTTCAAGGAATATAGAGAATTAAGTATTCGTAGGCCTCGTGTTTTTGTCAATCAATTTCCTTTTGAAAATATTTTGACAATAAAGGATCTTTTGTGCATCGTGTGTAGACGTAAAGCATCGGATAAATCTTACGATGTTGATACATTAGAAACTTATCCGTTATGGTTACCAACGACATATAACTTAAATACAGAATTGGTACAATTTGTCGCATATTTTGAACAACGAGAATCGAAAAACTTGGATAATTTGTGGATATGCAAACCATGGAATTTGGCAAGAGGTTTGGATACACATATTACGGACAATCTTTTTCACATTTTACGATTACCAAGTACTGGTCCCAAAATTGCACAAAGATATATATCAAAACCAGTGTTGTATGATAGACCAGAAATAGGTTTTGTTAAATTTGATATAAGATACGTCGTCATGTTAAGATCTGTTTCACCATTGAAAGCATACGCCTATTCCAATTTCTTCTTGAGATTTGCCAACAAAGAATTTGCATTGAACAACTTCGACGTTTACGAACAACACTTTACCGTAATGAATTATTCCGAAAATACAGATCTATGTCATTTAAAGTGTGCCGATTTTATCATTGAATGGGAAAAACAATATCCCGATTATCCTTGGACATCATACGTCGAGCCAACAATATTAAACATGTTTAAAAATATATTTGAAGCTGCCGTAGCTGAAAAACCGCCCCAAGGAATAGCACATTTTCCACAAAGTAGGGCAGTTTATGCAATAGATTTGATGTTGGAATGGAATAAGACTAGTGAGATGCAACCAATTTTATTGGAAATTAATTTCTCACCGGATTGCAAAAGAGCATGCGAATATTATCCAGATTTTTATAACGATATATTCAATTGTCTTTTCTTAGATAAATATAATCCTGAAGTATTCCATGATTTATTTCCAACATCATCATCATCATCGACGTCGTCAGCATCATCATTGAACAATTAAATATTGTTATTCTCTCATTGAACTATAAAAGTATAATACCCCTAAGCGTATGCCCATTTTCATAAGTATCGAAAAGCTATTAGCCAAAAGTATCAAGAATATGCTATCGCAACCAAACAAAGAGCATTTACTTATTTAGAATACGAAGGAAGAGGTGGCTTAACGCATTTGGTATGCGTTAATGAGGACAAGTAGCTCTGGTTAATTTGTATATACGAGAGCGCGTTAAAGGGTACATCTGCAGTGTGAATTATTCGTAGCTTGCATAAATTGACACTGTTGTAGGAAGTCGTCTGGTGCCAGCCACTTAATGGAATAATAAACGAGGAAACAATTAGAACAGTTTCATGACATAGCTCATGGTCAACCTGTGTAACCTTGTATTCTGGAAACACACTGGTACTCTACTTATTTGATGTATCTCTGGTTGGTTGGTACTGTGTCTCTACGCTGTGAGATTTGACTATCAAACTAAATTGTTTAATTAATCCTAATGAAACGTAATACACAGTTATTAAAGTTATGTTTTATTTAACAAAAATAAATAAATGATTAAGATTTCATATAATATATATATATATATATAGATATATAAACTTACGGAAAAAAGTTGAATCGTTTTATAGCATGTCTGAACGATCTAATGCGAGCTTTTGCGACGAAAAAAAAAAAAAAAGAAAAAAGAAAAAAAAGACTTTTATTACAGCTTTCGAAAAGTACGTACGTTCAAGTCGACGTTTATATTCATAGCAAATTTTTATTGGACGTTGATACATCGTTTCATTTTGTATTTATTACATAGTTAAAATTAATAGGCATACCCTTGTCCTGTGAATACATCGTTATAAAACTCAGTGATTATTTTTTATATTATTTTTGTTTGTTTGTTTGTTTGTTTATTTGTTTGTCCGTTTTCAACTCAACACAACCATCGTGGACGTTTGGTATATCTCTCTCTCTCTCTCTTTCTCTTCGACTACAATCATTCCCGGGTAATAACGGAATTGCACAGTGTATTTTGTTAATTATCTTCGTATCCGTTATATTACCTTGTTTGACAATGACGCCCAACGGTGCGTCCGTATCCGTAAAAATCCCACCATTGTTCTCATATTTTATTCTAGTAAATGGGAGTTATTTTTAAACAAAAATTTCTTTTTCTTTTTTTTTTTTTAATTTAATATTTCTTTTTTTGTTTTTGTTTTCAGATTGTCGAGATTTAATGTTATATTCTCTCACACGTAATACTTGAACGAATGAATTTCAACGATGACGCCATTTTGTAATAGTTTTTATTCTATTTTATTTCTTATTCTTTTAAAAACACAATGTACAAGAGAAAAACAAATTATATAATATTATATTTAAATTATTTGTTTATATTTAAATTGTTGTTATTTAATAATATTGTTCTCAATACGTATAAATAGGAAGAATAAAACATAATTTGGCTTTTGTACAATACATCAAAGAAAAAATAATATTTGTTAAAGTGTTTATAACTTTTGTCCTTTTCATCAAATAATTTATGAACAATTCTTTAACAACGAATAAAAAAAAGCAATTAATAATAATTAATAATAATTATAATTTAAATAACAATCGACGATTGGACATATATTGTAAACAAATTACAATTCATTTGTTCTTCTTTTCTATGATTTTATCTCTTACAATATAAATAATTCGATTTATGATATTATTAATTATAGAATATAATTTTTTATCATGAATTTCGATATACTCATATTTATTTATTATTTAAAAATAATAATAATAATAATAAATATTTAATCAAACATCTCAATGATTGCTCATACAATTGAACGAATTGTAGACTGTGGGGGATGGAGTTTCTAAGGAACTGTGTTTAGTTTGTGAATATAAAAGGGTGCCTTAGAATGATGATGCATGCGTGTGGCTCCGGTTAGTCGGCGGTATTTTCTCAACACGTGACATAACGTGCAAGCAACCAACCTGCAAACGAAAGAAAAGAAAAGAAAAGAAAAGCAAAGCAAAGCAAAGCAAAGAGAAGCAGCATCGTTTTCCACGAATGCAAACCACCACCACAACCACCACCATTACCACCACTACTACTTTAGTATAACACCATCACAATACTATTACAAACGTTATAAAAACGTTGTTGTCGGCATCCTCCGACAAGTCGTCTGGCGCGTGTGCATCGTTGCACCTGCAACGCACCTACCCAACTTCCTACTGCAATTTCATCTACGCGAATTACGTATTACGTTAACTCTCTGAGGGTGTTTTTTATTTTTTTCTTTTTCTTTTTTCACACATATATATATATATATATATATATATATATATATATATATATATATATNATATATATATGAAAGTACAGTCGACTAAGTATGTATGTGTGTATAAGAAATTCACTAAATATGTGAAAAATGATTTCTAGTTGCTGAAACAAAAATCTTTCAAGTGCTATTACAATATAAATGAAATATGATATTTTAAATGATATATATATATATATATAGATATAGAATACACATTTCTACGCGTTGTTCGTATTTGAAATTAATCGATAAATAAACGTATGCTAGTGTGTGCGTATGTGTTCAATTTAATAAATTGCAATCACACGAATATTTCCTTTTCCATTATCTCGTTTCATTATTTAAATATTATTATTAATTATAATTTATGCTTCATATTTCTTCCATCAGAGAATTCATTTAAATTCAATTATTCGAATAAATTATATTTATCATTGGGTTTTATTATAATCATTTTTATATAACATATACACAAATATATATATATATTTATTTATTTATTTATTTATTATATACATTGTTATTTGACGATTGAGATTGAACGTAAATATGAAAATCGAAAATTATCAAACAAAAAATATCTTCTTGATGATAATACATAATTAAATATTAAATATTGATTTCGATAGAAAATAATTTCATTTAATGATATACATTAAAAAAAAAAAAAAAGAAATACACTGAAAGAAAGCAACCCTAACGCAACCCTGACACAACCAGATAAATTTCTAGTAATTGTAAGATATAATTAGGATAAAATATAATAAGAAAAGAAAAGGAACCAAAAAAGGGGATGAATAATGTGTAAAAAAAAAAAAAGAAAATACAGTTACAATCCCCACTCTCACCCTCATTACTACAACCCTTTCCCTATTCTATAATTCTTTTCTTTCTTCGTTTGAAATTCGTGATCGCGTGTTAACGAAACTTTTGCGAAATACAATTTATGTAAATTATTCGAAAGAAATTACTGGAGTAGTCACTCGATGTTGTTGACTCTCTGTACATTTCTTTTAAAAATATATATTTTTTTCTATTTTATTTTTTTCTTTTTTTCTTTTAGGTCCTATTGACGTGGGGGTCGTGTACATTACTCGGGTTTAACTTCTCGTAACTTTTCTAACGGTGTTCGTTTCTCTTTCACGTTTTCCTTTTCCTTTTTCGTCGTCGTCGTCGTCGTCGTCGTCGTCGTCGTTGCGGTTGGTAATCATGGCAATTAAGCAAATGAGTTCTACGTATAGGGACGTCGATAATGAGGGCGTCGGGGTGCTCGAGACAAACGGACCTATTTCGCGGGGGGTGCTACCAACCAACCAACCAACCCCCCTCCCTCTGTCTCCCACAAGACTCACCCATCAACCTACCAACCAAACCTCACTCCATTTATTTTCCTTCTACGTTTTCCCAATACTCGGAGTATTCCAATGGAAATGAATTATTTTTCTATTCGTACGATTTGGAAAATTGTTCGTTTTATTTATCAAAAAATAAACAAAGTTGCGTGATATCAACCGTGGATTGTTAGTTTTTTTTTGTTGGTACACGTCTTTTTGATATTTCCCGTTTATCTTTTGTTTTTTAGGGAGAAGAAACACGATAGTTTCAAAAATTAAAGTTATTTCTTTTTTAATGCGGTTGCATTATCTATCCGCTACCCTGTATTTTAATGTCTATTTTTTTTAATCTCTCTCTCTCTTTCTCTCTCTTTTTCTCTTTTTCATTTCCTCCCTTTTCTCTCGTTCTCTCACTCTTCTTCTTCTTCTTTTTCTCTTTTGCTTAACCTTTGTAACCAGAATAGAGGGTAAAACTTCGAGCGCATTTTTCAGTTGCGTTTAGTCCCTCTCATACTCTCTCTCTCTCTCTCTCTCTCTTTCTCTTTTTCTTTCTTTTTTTTTTTTTTTACCTGAAAGAAAGAAAGATAGAAGCACAACGAGGTTAGTGCCGCAATTAAAATAGTAAATTATTCTCTAGTAACGCGTGTACAAGTAAAAAGAAAAGAACAATAAAAATTAGAAAATAAAAAGGTGATTTCATAAAATTATTCCTACTTTGTTTCTATAGAAAAAAAAAAAAAAAAATAGGAAGTTGACTTTAATATATTCTTAAGTATTTATGTTAATATTTTTATAAACTAAAGAAAAATAGAAAGAGGGAGAGAGAGAGAGATAGAGAGGGATTAATTAACAATACAATTGATTGATGATGTATTTGTGCTTTGATTTTGTTCAAGTCACATATATATTTCATATAAAATACTAAATATTATTCTAAAAATATGCATAAATTAATTACAATATTAGAGTTTAATTTTTATCATTATTTATAGAAAAATATTTGATTTGCATACATTTTTTAAAGTGTTTTATTATTTACTTTCTTTGTAATTATTATAAAAATTCGCGCCTGTATGAATGCAACCCTCCAGACACATTTTGAAAATGTTGTTTGCGAGCGCCACTTGTCGGGACGGAACTTTTGTCTACCCGAAAGTTAGGCAACCCGTCATACATACGTGTATAAACTGTTTTGACTGCAAAAAAAATCCGTCCCAGTAGATGGCGTTCGCAAGCAACATTTTCAAAGTGTGTCTGGAGGGTTGCATACTAGCAGGCGCAAATTTTTATTAATTCAATTTATAATTAAATAAATAATTACAAATTAAAAGTACAAATAATATTATAATAATATTGTATTATAAATTATCCTCGAAACTTGTTTATTTGAAGGTTTTACTTCTAATTTGTGTGATATGCACACATGTTCTTTCTTTTTTTCAAATCAGCCTCATTCTAAAGAAGTTTTCACTTGAAAAAATAAAAAATAAAAATAATGAAAAACAGGTATTACACCATATAATACTCTGAACAATTATGCACTACTGTGGTTAGTGGTGTTTCCGTAATGTATGATAAAAACAGTTGAATTTTCGTTTCTCTTTCTCATTACTATCAACCCCTATTTTTCCCTCTCTCTCTCTCTCTTTTTTTTTTTAATTTTTTGTTCTATTTTTTGCTACAAACTTTTACAATGCACATGCAAGTTTTGGGTTTCGGTTTGGGTTTGGTTTTAAAGGACCAGTGCATGAAGTCAACGTATAGTATTCCATATGCTAGCACCTGTAATTAGAAGACCGAGCACGAATAAACGTACGAATTTCGTACGGTGCTATAATAAATGCTTGCTGCATTACGTTTCCAAGAATGAAAGAGAGAGAGAAAAAGAGAGGGAAAGATAGAATGCACGAGTAGTTTTATGCCATTTGTATTAAAACGAACTAAGAGGAGGTAATTTGTATGATGAAAGCTGCTTTGGTTCAACGATTTTATTATAACGTTAGAAAGTTTACCTTCACGATTTTATTTCAGATTATATAATTCAATTTTTGTATTTTAATTAAGATTAATATATATATACTATACTACTGTATACTGTATATATATGTGTGAGGTAACTTTATAAAATAGAGTTAGGTGAATTTTAGAATCTTAATTATTATAATAATAATTTTTTTTTGCATTGTTTAATCATTTATATATATATAT